CAGTAAAAACAGACACACAGACGCTCACAGCCCAGTGACATACAAGTCCACACACACACGCACGCACGCACGCACGCACGCACGCACACACACGCACACATACGCTAGCAGGCATGCTCTTATATGCTCTAGTAGCCATGAAAATCGAGTGCATCTTTCTGGAACTGTGGTTGGCTACGAGGAGGATCGGAGATTAAATTACATGAAGACAACAACTCAGATCAAAAGTGATGCCACGTAAAATTGATTTTATTCATAGGGTAAGATACTTGATGTATTGGTTTATATATAGAATGCTGAAGAGTTCTTAAGTCTCGTCACACATTTCATGGTGGCAAAGAAAGGCTTCCTACTGCTGCATGCTACAGAGAAGTTATCGCTCACAGCTGCTATCTACATGTTCAGTTTCATTTTCAATTTTTCTAAACAAAAGACAGTTGTTATTCAATTAGATGCACTAACCAATGAGGAGACAAGCCCAAGTTGTGCTTCTATCTACATAATAGAATCAGAGAAAGAAAACCCAGAGAGGAGGAGATTGTGAATGAATGCTGTTAGTCACCCCGCTGTCCCTGTGAGGGAACATAAGAACAGACTTCTCCTCAGTCTAACTGCAAATATTGTGTTAACTTGAGCCAAAATATTTCTGCCTTTTAACTAACATTACTGCCCCAGAACACTGACAGTGATCCGAATACTCTCATTAGGTATGTTAACTAGCTAATATTAGCTTATTAACACTAACGCCAAAAAAAACAGCAGCATTACTGACCCAGCCAAGTCAAAAAATACATCGAACTGTCTGTACTTTCACAGACTTTCATCCTGCAGCAGCAGTGTGAGAGGAAGGATTCTCCACTTAATGTACGTAAACATCATCAAAGTGAAGTTCTGGTGAGGACTTTGCAGTTCATTTATTGAAATAGTGTCCCAGGTGCTGTATAAGGAGTACAAGTTGCAGTTTCTCTTAATATCTCTGTTTTTCTGTTGTTGTCAGGTGATGTAAATGTCAATGTTTTAAAGAGATGGAAAATAAACAAGCCCCTGCTACCGCTCCATAGAGTGTTCAATGGCGGCAGCTGCTTTCCTACAATCTTTTTGCTCTCCACACCGGTCACTTGACTGAAACAGGGGCAACTGTGGCTCAGTTGGTAGAGTCGGTCGTGCGGGGTGGTGCGATCCCCAGCTCCTCTACCTACATGTCTGACGTGTCCTTGGGCAACACCCCAAATCGCCTCTGTGTCGTATGAATGAGGTTAGTTATTTCTGATGGTCTCACTACATAAGCCCCGTTTCCACCAAGCAGTTCAGTTCAGTTCGTACGGCATGCATTTTGTGGCGTTTTCACTATCAAAAGTCGGGAAAGGTCCCCAAATTACCATCCTGTACTGTCTTACTTCTTGCTACCCTTCTGTTGTGGTGCCAAATCTACCGATCCGACCCTAAAAGGTGGAGCTAAACACTGCAGTCCATTGATTGGTCGAAAGAATCGTCACTTCCTGTGCGACAGCGGTAAAAAATGACGGCTGTATTTTTCCTCGCGGCACACAGCCCCGTCTGAAACAAACTTGATTGCGTTTTGTAACAAAGAATCGCAAGTCAATGAGAGAAACCACAAATTGATGGATGTCCTCCATTGTTGCTCTTTGTTTACTGTGTCGCGTTCTTCTTCAAATTTATTAGCGGGGTATAATGTGTCACACTGCTATGATGTCACGCTATTACGTAACTGACGCGACTATTGGCATCCGGCTTACGCGCCGCCTACCAGAAAAAGAGTACGGTAACTACGGTTGGCTGTGGAAACGCAAACAGGATCAGGCTTTACCGAACCAAACCGTACTGATCCAAACCGGACAGCTCGGTGGAAACGGGGCTATAGCAACCACTGCTATCAGTGTGTGAATGTGTAGGTGTGACCTGCGGTGTAAAAGCACTTTGAGTAGTCAGAAAACTAGAGAGTCCAAGTCTGATAATTGATCTGGTCATTTTTACCTTCTCAGTGGCAGAAATTCTCCTTCCTTGTCAGCTGCTTTGCACGTACCATGTCACAAAACTCACGCTTGTACTTGAACATGAAACATGAAACATAAAACATTGAACACTTAATTCAACATGACAGATTAAATAATGTACTCAATGTGACTACACTCAAGGAAGGGGGCAGACAGACGTTGTCAAAGCTTGTTTTTTGACTAGAACGAAAAAAGAGAAATCATAATAAAGATTTAAGGACTGCAGTTTCATAAAAAAATTAAATGAAAGAGGGGTGCCAGTGGCCTTGTGGTTAGTTCTCACGCCCAGTGTACAGAGGCTACAGTCCTCAAAGCGAGCAGTCCGGGTTCGTATCCGACCTGTGGCTCCTTTGCCGCATGTCATTTTTACACTACAATTCTTCAGTTTTTACATTTCATTGAAGCAGATGCTTTTATCCAAAGCGACGCTCATCAGAGAGTAAGTAATAAGCAAGGATCTGGAGCAGAAACAACGTCAGTAAGTGCGAACAAACAGCTTTAAGTCTGATCGGACACACGGCTGCAGACAGGAAGTGCACATAGGCAAATCACATCGACAGCTGTTCTTGAGAGTCCTAATCCCTCTACTTTCTCTCTCTCCCTGATTTCCGACTCTATCCACTGTCCTCCAATAAAGGCATAAAAGCTGTTACTCAATATTGTCTGACACCTCAGCACAAAGCATAGAAGGTCTTTTCTTTTAAAAAGCTTACATTTTGTGTGTTTTAAGGCAAGCGCTTGGCACTTTTGATTTGTTGGCAAACCTTAGAAAAGCAGTAAATAATGCATCTATTATGGACTACTTTCAGAGGCAGATTTATACATACTTGGTTCTCTGGTGAGCTATGTCTGTGCCAAGTTTCCACTAGAGGCTGACTGGAAGTCCCATTAAAACCTGTTAAAATTCCCATTTTAGCATGTTATACATGTTCACATCCTGCTTCAAAATCCAGTGTTTGTCTGAGAAGCTCATTTAACTGTACAGTTTTTTTTATTACTCATCTGTTTTGACCGTATTAAGTCTACCAGTTATCCATACGTTTGCATAATTAGGGGTGTGGCTGAGTTGACTGACAGGTGGAGATGTTTTAGCTTTTTGCCAAGGGGCTCAGCTCCACTTCATTGCCTGTTACTAGTTTGATCAAGAGTTGGTTGAGAAAGCATTTCCAATATGGCGACTGCCATCGTTTGGCTTCATGGCACGTCGTCAGAGACCCATTGTTGATTTCACTGTTCTTCATTGAACATAATAGACCAAATAATATATTGTCACTACACACTCAGGAAAAAATGTACACCCCTAGTAATAAGCCAATTAGAATCAAGAATTAGGCTCAGGTGTGTTATAATGAGATATATCAGCCTTATGATGCACTGCACATATGTTTATAGTCTATATTTGATGGTATTTGTTGACTTATTGAGAAAAAATAAAGAATATCCTGCAGACTTATCCTTGATCATGTGGTGCCAGAGGGGGACCGGATGATTACATGAGTCTACAGCTGCTTGCTAAGGGCTCCAACCTTTATGCCTCATATCTATAAAACAGTGACAGATCATTTCCTCACAAACATATTTCATACTCTATCTGTTTCATCGCACAGAATGTTTCAAACATGTAGATAAACATGGAGATCTGCCTGCAGGAGCATGTAAACTGTCTCTCTACAGTTGTTAGAGCTGCACACGGTTTCAACGAGAGTTTATTACTGTAACACAACAAGGTAAAAGAAGAAAACCACAGCAGCTATTTGTGTTGTGTGCTCTGCTGTCATTTAAAAAAAAGGACACCTCTTTGTGCTGTGATGGAATGAAATGCTTTCTCTGTTCAGCTCGATTTGTTGTCATGTTGAGCACTTCAGTATATGCTGGACACATACTGACAAAGCCCAATGCAGGTTCATCATCATTTTCATCACAATCATCATCATTATCATCACGTAGACACACGCCAGCGGGTGCACAGAGACTGGAACAGAATGGAATTTGAAACGTTTTAGCCAAAAATGTTTCCATGGTCAAGGTGTTTTTTGCAGAAACGTTTCAGATTTCGTTTTGTTCTCCAACTTCGTGGGTGAAGAAAGTCAAGTGATGCTTCTGGGAAAAGAGCTGCATGGCGTGCAATAAACACAAACACACAATATAGTATTTAGAGTTATAAGTGTGAAGATTTCATTAAACATACTTTATTTAAGGTTTTCTATATTTTAGAGTAAGCATAGCATGTTCTCCCCAAGTGGCAACCTCAGGTGTTGAAAAATAAAGCCAATATGGAAGTGCAAAAAAACTGCATTTCCTTTACTGACCACTTGAGGCTAGCTGCAGAAGCCCTGGAGATCCCATTAACACCCATGTTAAAATGGTTTTTTTGAAAGCAGTAATAAACATGTCTACTGTACAGGACTAAATCTTTTTATAATACAACTATTTCGATGTGAAGGCTAAGAGTTAAAAATAATTGAGGTGTGGCTTATCTGACTGACAAGCGGGCGTTGTAACTGTTTGCCAGGAGGCTAAAGACCCGCCTCAGCTCTGCTTCTCTATCTGTTCCTTGGTTGACTGAAAGTTAGTTAATTTTCCACTGTAATGACCGCCATTGTTTGGCTTCAAAAGTCTTTTTCAGAAACCATTTAGTGATGTCACTGAGACTACGTCCATGTTTTATACAGTCTATTGTTCTCCATGACAACACCTCTCCTCTTCTCCAATCAGATTATCCAATCATCTGTTGAGCTTTTGTGATTAATGCTGTTGTGTGGAAATATAGAAACCATTATTTTAGTAAAGTGGTTAAAAAATAAACATTGCTTTTGCTGAATTGTGCAAAGGAAATGGTCAATTTAAAAAAAAATGGTTGCTTGTTTTGTTACATTCCTTTCTCACTTCCAGCGTTGGTTCAAATCTCCCCGTATAAAGAAATGGATGCAAAGGGACACACGTCCTTCCTACTAACAAACTCCTCTGTGTCGCGTGTGTGTGTAGGCCACACGGTGAGTGAGGGCTCAGACTGCCTCATGAGTCGGGCCTCCTCTGTGATCTGGTCCCCTCCGACCCCCATCCTCCCAGCATCAGTGGGATGTCCCAGGTGTGTCTCCTCTTGGCCCTGCTTATGCTCTGTAGCTGCACAAAGGTAAGACTTTCTTTTCCAAAAATATACTCAAACAGATTATCTTAACTTGACATGAGGCTTCAGGACATTGCCTCCTCCTGCAGGTCTCCTTTGCCAACTCCCTGGAGCTTGTGAAGGAGCACTGGAGCAGCTACAAAAACCAGTGTCTGGATAACATCAACACCACGCCCCCCGCCACAGGTGAGCACCTCTCCTCCCAGCATGAGCTCTTGTTTGGACACATTTTACTGATCTGCTCTTCACCGCAGGGCTGGTGTGTAACCGGACCTTTGACTTGTACGCCTGCTGGCCTGATGGACTCCCAGGAACCACAGTCAACGTCTCTTGCCCATGGTTCCTGCCATGGTACCGTAAAGGTCTGTGAGTGAGTGTTTGTGCACAGAATATGGTGTAGGGTAATGGGAATGTGGGCATCTGCCATATTTAGCTTTTCCAAGAGAAAAAGTGAATACTCTGTCAGTTGAATTCCACAATAATGTAACATGTGCAAATAAGAAAATATAAGGAATGGATATAATGGCTAGAAAGTTAAAATAGTGACAACAAACCAGAGGCACTGCTTGTCAACAGGCAAGGCAGGCAACTGTTTGGGGCCCCAGACAAGTAGGGACCCCAGAGGGCTGACAAAATTTAAACTAAATCAGCGACACATAATGTGAACATTTTTCAATGACAGTAGGAAACCTTCCTAAGGGAGTGACAGCATTCACTCTCATTGCCCCTCTGAAGGCTGGTTGGAGGGCCCCCCAATGATTTTTCCCTGGGCCCCAACACACCCAAGAATTGCCACTGCAATGCTGACGGTCAATCAATCAATCAATCAATCAATCATTTGTAAAGCGCCAATTCATAACAAGTGTTATCTGGAGACACTTTACAAAAGAGCATATGAGATAATGGGCAGGAAGGATTTCTCCTTTGTATTCCTCGCGTTCCTGTTGTCCACACTTCATTGCCGCTGAAGTAGAGGTCGGAGCAGGCTGTGCATGAATGAGGACGGCGGTGGTGTTTTATGGCTCAGGAAGCTGAGGGCTGAAGACACTGACTTGCATTGATTTTGTATTGAAAATGGACACAGGTCAGGACAAATTCACAGATGACTGACACCATTGTTGGGGGGTGAAGATGTTAGGAGACCCCTTATGTTTGGATTTTAACTACTTTATCGCACACAACAAATAAAACAATGGTGAAAAGAAAACTCCTGAGCTTTTGGAGACAATAAACTAGACCAGACAAAGACAATATTAATTTATGCTAAACATGATCACCTTAGTGGCACAAAGCTACCCACTCTCTGCACAGCGACCCTTCATTGTAAGTAAGTATGAATTCCTTGTAAAAGAAAGCATTTTAAAGTCACATTTTCTGAGAATTGTTTTTTGTGTTGTATTATTAGTTCTTTGATCTATACTTAGAAATGTAACCCTTTGAAGCCACAGCTCCTCTTTAGCACACCTGTGTGAGAAGTGCAGCTCAGAGTTTGAGAGTTTTTTTCTCACCTTCAAGACCAACTTGTTAAATATAAAATACACACGTCATGGGTTTTTTTAGCGTGTGAAAATGGCATGGTTACAGCGCCCAACTGCTGACGACATGTTAGAAGAATTCAGAGAAAGAGCTCTTCAATGTACTCGTTTTTAAATTGATCCTGTGGAGTGAATGTGAAACACTCTGAAAAGGTGACACATCTCATCAGATGTCCTTGTCATTCAGTGGAATCAAAGAGAATAGCAACCTTTTGGATGAATGCTGTTTTTCGAAAGAGTGAACAGCGGTTTCAAAGAGTGGAAGAGGCGAATATTGGCTGCCAAGGACATGTATTATTCAAGAATCAGCTTACTTTAAGTCCCAGGAGACTTACGTTTGTGTAGAATATGTTTTTAACGTTCGGTTATCTTTATGGTTTCTGAAAAGATGTGAAAGTGAGCGTGTACCTTTCATCTCTCTGGACGTGAAGCCTGGCAGAGAGGTGTCCCTCTCCAGTCTCTGCTCTGCATCATATTGAGAGAAAATAATGGGATATTTGTTTGTTAGTCAATGATACAAGAATATGTTTCTTCCAGTCACAGAGTTTTCAACTCCTTCTGAAGTTTGCTCAGGACTTTCCTTATCGGACTTACATGGGTCATGTTACCTGGCAGAAATATAGCAACCACTTAGCCACAATTTAGTCAACTCAAATAAGGGAGAATGTAAAAAATAAAGGCTATTGTGTGCATTGAGTTAAAAAAAAAAAAGAACATTATTAATTAACGACAGAGTATTAGGGCCACATTAAAGAAACCTTTTTTCTAAAATTTTGAGATTAAAGTCGTACATGTACAACAATGAAGTGTTCAATTTACAATAAAACAGTCATTAATGTGTGATATGAAATAAATCAGTTTAAATTAGTCTATGTTTAAAATTATTATTCTGAAAAGTTGTATCAGAAGAGCAGCCACCAGCCTGCGTGAAAATTATAAAAAAGGAACCCTCAAAGACGTTTCCTCCGCCACAAAAGAGGCAATTTCCTCCAAGTCAGTGTTGTTCTTTCTCCAGAAAAGCTCCAGTTTCTTGCAGAATCTTTTCAGGGTCCTGATACTTCTGACAGTATGATGCTGATGTGCCAAAATAACGTGTAGTTTCATATCCTCGTCATGAGCCGGGGATCCGGCCGAAGATTTCTGCCTTTTAATAAGGCAGTTTTTTCTTAACACTGTAACTTTTGCTGCTTTGCTAAAGTGCTCATGATGGATAGGCCGGATCTTTGTAACATAGCAATAAGTAAGGTCTTTTACCTGCTTTTTGTAAAGTGTGTCGAGATAGCACTTGTTATGAGTTGACGCTATACAAATAAAAATTGATTGATTGATTGATTGATATCTGGATACGTAAAGCCCCAACACAAGTAATGGGATATTTAGAGACCTTAAAGCAGCTCATTCCACAGAGAGATAATACTCAGTCAGTCTGATTTACTGACCACACAAGGAAGTGTCTCCTTATTTGTGAAACTTGTGTGATATTCCACATTTCTCATTTTTGTACAGGCGGCTGCTGCTCTACTGACATTACAGACTAAAATAACGGCTTTAAGCTCATAAAAGTATGACATCAGTCTCAAAATCTCGCATCCCCCCCCCCCCCTTAATGTGGCCCCAATACTCCTTCCTACAAAGTAACAAATGCACAATATACATTTTTAACTTCGGACTTGCAGGAGCTGAACATAAAGTCTTTATATTAAAAAAAAATGTCATGTCGTGTGTCCTTCTGTGTATGTGTGTGTGAACAGTTCAACAGGGTCTGATCTACAGAGTCTGCAATGAAGATGGCCAATGGGCTCGAAAGAATACCAGCGAATGTGAGGACGACCCGGGTGAGGTGTGTGTATACAGTGTAGTGTTTTTCTATGTGTGTGTATGTGCGCCAGGCCTGTTTTAGTTAGCAGCTTTTTCAATGTTTGAAGACTGCAGTAGCAGATGGTTGTGTCTGTAACTGACTTGACACTTTAACCTACAGTACATGATTGAGATGACTCAGTGATAACCTCCCCCTGTGTGTTCCAATTGTCTTCATATAATTTACAGCTTTTTGTGTTTGTTCTTGTTGGTTCTGCAGCAGCAGTACGGCCGCATCCTCAGTCAGTTACGCATCATGTACACAGTGGGCTACTCGCTCTCCCTGGGGGCTCTTCTACTGGCCCTGGCCATCCTCATCTCTTTCAGGTACAACATGTTGGAGGAGGAAAGAGGGGGAAGAATAAGGGAGGGGGGGAGGACATAGAGGAAAAATTGAAAACATAATTTAATTGAAGGAAGTGAACCAGAGACAGAAGAAAGGAATACATGAAAAAATGGAAGAGCGAGCTGGGGGGACAAAAGGAATGACGAGACTGACATGGAGAACAAGATAATGGAAAAAATCAATACATTGGGGGGTGGGGGGGGTGGGGGGGTAGCTCAGTGGTTAAATCTTCTCACGTACAGAGGCACTTGAAGAGGCGGGCCCAGGTTCCACTCCCACACTCGGGAATTTTACCGCATGTCATCCCCCGCTCCCTCATCCCTGTTTCAGACTCTGTCCTGTTCTTTAAATAAATAGTAAAAAAGAATGAAAAAGGACAGAAGGATAATACCAAACAGGATCAAGGAGAGTGGGATAGAAAGGTATGAAGGAGTAAGAATTGGATGGAGAAATAAAAAAAGAAAAAGTGAACCCTGAGGGAAAAGGGAAGGGCAGAAGACACTGGAAATAAATACATTAAAAACACAGAGAGAGTAAGGAGAGAAGAATAGAAAAAACAAAAAAATGAGGGTAAATAAATGAAAGGAAAGGAAATAAGGAATCATGCAGAGAAGTGAATGCAATGTGTGAAAGTCCTCACACACTGTCACCTGTGCACCAGGAAGCTCCACTGTATGAGAAACAACATCCACATGAACCTGTTCGCCTCGTTCATCCTAAGAGCCGTGTCCATCCTGGTCAAAGACGCCCTGCTGACCCTCACACTGGACCCCACCGCCAGCGGTGACACCCGGACACAAGCTCTGGTGAACATACCGGTGAGAGCACACACAACACACTGACCTTAGCTGACGAGATCTGTGTTCATCTGCAGGTGATTACAAAAGAAAACCAGACATTTTGTATTGTACTGAGCCTATCCAAAGTTGAGAGTATCCTTTTCAGGTTTTCTTGGCAATATTTCCTAAAATAAAATAAAATAATAATCACACGGCGCTATTAAAACAAACCTAACGGACATTGCTGAGGGAGGCAGAAGTTAACTTTCATAATCTAGCAACAACAATCGTATGAGAAGCGCTCTGAATAAAAAAAAATAAAAAAAAACATTTTTACTGTAAGAGAAATAATGGCTTCTTATTTGCATGCTCACCATCTGTCCTGTGTTGTTGTCAGGCTGTGACATGGTGTCGAGGTGCCATGGTGATGATGCAGTACAGCGTGATGGCCAACAACTACTGGCTGCTGGTGGAGGGCATCTACCTGCACAGCCTGCTGGTCATCACCGTGTTCAGCGAGAGGAAGTACTTCTACATTTACCTCGCCATTGGCTGGGGTAAGAAACACAACTCGGCACAAACAATGAAAAGTGTGTGATGTAGCCTTTCGATAGCGTTCAGATAGCATAGTTGCAAGCTCGGCCACACCGTCTTTAGAAAGCATGCAGACATTACAAGCAAGGAAATCCCCAGGTAGCTACAGGAGTGGTCAAAAGGTAGACTATAGAAAGGCTAATGAACAAATATAAAAGGTTTTAATGACATCATGGGTCTTTATTGTCAGATTATTTGAGATGTAAGGGCCTCTAGTGGACAGGTGTGGTATTACAGAGCTGTATATGAAAACACAAGGTGAGTGACTTAATTTTAAACTTTTTGGGGTTTTTTGTAAGTTTTTTTAAAGTTTGAAATTGTAACACCTGTAATATCCGTGGTCATCCAGAATGCATTCCAGCCTTGTCTGGTGGAACAATAGAGCGGGAAAGATTCTGAGATGATACCATTACTCTTAACAGATGGTACAGGCTCATGATATAGTGCTTTAACCCACTGTTGGTATCTTAGCCTGAAACCTGATCTATGTAAGGTATAAAACAGGTATGGCCGCTCTCCCTAACCTTAACCCTAAGTGCAGGTTTTGACTGTTTTCAGAGGGTTTCCATACCTTTAGACTAGTCAGGCAGTCAGTCTGAATTTAAAGGGATACTTCACCCATTTGCATTAAGCTTTGTATCATTAGAAACTTCTAAGTCTGAAAAGGAGCTTCTGATGAAGCAAAAATCTTCATTTTGCGTCATCTGCGGCTGTTGTGGTTAGCGGGGTGAAACTACAACGCTAGTTCCTCATATTTTCGACCACTGAAGCTACAGACCAATCACAGATCAGTGGGTGGGACCTCACTCCCAGAAACGAAAGCTATACTAGCTATACTAACAGGCTCTATGGAGAAAGCTGATAATGGCGAAAAAAGCTGAGCTGGATGAAGGGGATTTTGAAGGTCTTGTGCTTGAATCGAATGTTCGTGGCTATCTCTACGAGTGTCTATCTCTGTGGACACAGACATAGAGTCCGTTTTCTGCCAGGAATTTCCAAGATGCCTATTCCTTCTGGAAGAAATCTCGGAATCAGTTGAGGAAACGGCTGTATGCGTTGTAGTAAATGTCTGTAACTAGAGCACTCTTCAGTGGGCGTAGTCGTGCATTCTGAGATTTGGTGTCTTTCATCCACAAAAAGACACTTTCTGCCTTTTTCTCGGTCAAGAAGGCACCAACTTCAAAATTTATTTCACATTTCTACTACATATAGTACCCAATGTCAGGACAGATTCATGTTTCAACTGGTGGAGTATCCCTTTAAATTTCCAATTCACAGACTAGGAAATTAGTCGTTGAAACATCTCTAATGTTTACAGATATTGTAGATAGACTTGAGCTTGTATAGCGCTTTTCTAGTCTGTCTATTTAAAGTGCATTTACACCACAGGTCACTTCTACTCATTCACACACTGACGGTTAAAGCTGCTATGTAAAGTGGCCATTCCTGTTAGCTAATCCCATACATACTCATTCACACACTGCTGATGAAGGTTAAGTGTCTTGCTGCAGCAGCTGGGGATCGAACTCTCAACTTTCTGGTTGAGAGACGACCAACTCTACCACTGACCCACAGCCGCCTCAGCAGACGTGACATAAGTAACTCCACGACAACCAATCACTTTCTGTCTCGCGGTGAACAGATCTCCCTCTTAAAACATTAAAACACTTCATTCGCCACTTAATGGCGTCCCTCACCTTTAAACAGGAAAAGAGATGATTTTCCACCTAAAAGTTACGGCTGGGAGAAAAGCGCATGGTAACTAAAAGAAAAAGTGTTTGTACAGGTTCATTTGTGCAGCTACGCAACAAACTGAAAAATTAAAATCTACCAACTACTAATTTTGACAACATATATTGTAATGTATGACTCATCATAACACAAACACACATGCACAGACACGCACACACACACAGACACGCACAGACACGCACACACACACACACACACACACACACACACACACACACACACACACACACACACACACACACTCTTAAGGAAAGTAAAAGCAGGTAACAACATACATTTTTGGGTGTTTCTGATCAACAATGGATACTCACACACATATTGCTTGTATTTCTCTCTTCTGTAACTGTTTCACTCAATCACACACACACACACACACATATAGAAACACGCACGCACGCACACACACACACACACACACACACACACACACACACACAGGCTCTTTGGTTCATCATTTCAGACCTTTTTCTTCTTTTTCTGTCTGTGAATAAAGAATCACTTTGTAATTAAGTTTTTTGTTTTTTGTCCTTTTTTTAAACAGTAATATTAATATATTTGTGAATGGAGATAAGAAATCATGCTCTAGCCACAATATTAACTCTATTTTCCCTCCGACGTTGGTGAGTCAGTGGCGGCTGACAGGACAGATCATGTATGAATGGATAGATTTTAATTTCAGCATTCAGCGCACACACACTCAGACATTTTTATATCAGGAGACCTTCCACGTCTTCATCAGGAAACAGAGAGAGACACCTCTGCATGATGAGTTTCTAAAATCACATTCATGAAAACCACTGTTTAATGCTGAGTCGTGCATAATGATGTGATCATTTCACTAAAATACCTTTGTTAAAGACTACATTTGTGTTTTTGTTTTACTTTGTCAATTTCAGGTGCACCACTCATATTCGTGTTGCCGTGGATCACAGTGAAATATCTGTATGAGAATGAAGAGTAAGTATCTTTTACTACTACTTTAACATTATTTGAAAGTCAGGTTAGATCAAATTAAGCAATATTACACGAGAGGTAATAATGTACTGAATATTAGCACTGCTGTGATTTGATTGTCGGCACGAGGCTGCAGCACTTTTATCCAACCTTTCTACAACCAGCTTTCAGAAAGAAAAAAAAAAACTTAAAATGGGTGAAATCAATGTTTTTCTGCTCCTCTAACTCAATTAGTTCCACATCCTATGGCTCTGCACACACTGTACGATTGTGAAAATGGCGTTGGTAGAATGTCAGCTCACATTGTACGATTGGACTGCTTACAAAGCACGACCAAAGCTGAAGAGATAGGTGCTCACACTGTATGGTCCGACTGTCGGGCAAGACTTGAGAGCTCCCACTGTACGAGTTAAATCAGGATGAAGCATTGTCTTTGTCGATAGAGAACTCCCACAGGCAGAGGATGGAGTCAGATCTATGTGTATTTCAGTTGTCTCATCTACCTGGCCTAAATACTCCATCGGGCAAAAACGCTCTCCCTCTCTCTCACACAATCTGCACCACCAGAAAATACAAACTAACTCGCAGCCAACTCATAACAATTATCCTGTCCGATGTTCCTTTTATGATAGGAGGGGACAGACAGAATAATCAGGCAGGGCTGCTGTTGCCATGGTGATTTCAGACGCTGTTTGTCAGTTAGTGCAGGCACAATCAGAAAGAAAGGGAAAAGGCTGTTGGCTCTGCTCTCACTGACCGGTCAGGAGAAGATGGTCACGTCGTGATTGTCCGTCTCAGTGTACACCATACGACTAACAATGCACAATCTTGCTGAAGTTTAGCCTAAATTCAAAATGTAGTCGTTTAACTCCAAATATCAGATCCAAATTGGTCTCAAATTGTACAATTAGGCTTAACTAAAACAGTCCCATTGCCAAGCAACCAAAACATTCTTCTGCACTCTGCTTCTTTAATTGCCTGCACTTTTCCATAGACCAGCTGTTTTGTATGTTGTATGTCAATGTATATTATGTTTGTATAATTGAATGATAATGCAAGTGACAAATGAATCGTGACAGACTCTGTCTTCTGTAATTTATAAACTGTATTCAAACACCCGGCTGAGGCAGAGTGATACACAGAGTGAGTGATGTGTACTCTTTATCAGCAGCCCTCAGGAAATGCCTCTCGACCATCAGAAAACTTTGTCTAAACTAACAGTGGTACACCAGCTGTTTTACTTCCCCTCTTAGAATTATATAAAACATTATGAATATCTTGAAATACAGTGAAGAGATCAGAATCACTATAATTCCAGATTACAGTAACCGTGTGAAATGTGTGTTCATGTGTGTTTGTAGGTGCTGGGAGAGGAACATTAACATGGGGTACTGGTGGATCATTCGTTCTCCCATACTGTTTGCTTATCTGGTAAGAATAACTGTTACTGTGTGTGTTCAATGTGTTGAAGGAAAGTTCAAGACACACACACACACACACACACACACACACACACACATACACACACACACACACACACACACACACACCCATAATTATACTCCCATCTTTTAGGGTTAAGCTGCAGTGTTTCACATTCTGCACTGAGGCCATTTCACTGTTTCTGGCAGTAAAAAATTCTGCTATTTTCAAATGTCTCTCTCTCTTAAGACACTTTATTGTCATTGTATGAAATACAACAACATTGTGTTGGTGACAAACTGCCCAGCAGCAATGTATGAGATAAAAACAAAGAAAAGGTAAAAATATACAAACAGCAGATTAAGATAAGATAAAGCAACACAATATATACAAAATGTACAAACAAAATTATAGATTCCCAATAAATAAAATTCCAATTATAAATTTGAAGATTTAAAAAAGAAATAGAAGAAATCACGTTTATGTCATTCATATAATCATTTTGGCTTTGCCGCACATTGACACACAGAAGTAATTCCTCTTGTGTGTTTCCTGCTCCTTGTTCCCATAGAGACAAACATCATTATGAATGCACACACTTAGGATCACAAGTGCACATTAAGAGAAACAGCAGCAACCTTTGTGACCTCATGCAGAGGCCTACGTGTGAATACACACACACACACACACACACACACACACACACACACACACACACACACACACACACACACACACACACACACACACACACACAGATATTCCTAAACTTGCACATTTCCTGAGCTGTGTAAGTCCTGAGGTTTTTGCTCTGTGTGGAAACTGTCTCTTAATTATTATCTTTGAAATAGTTGGCCTACAGTTGTTGAACAGACATGACTTCATGTGTCATCCTCCAAGAATCCCAAATACAATCCTGCTGTTCAATCTTTGTTCACACACACACACACACACATTTGCATTATCTGTGTTTTCCTCTGACAAGACAAAATACACATACCAGTTACCAAACTTGGAGCGCTAAGAACTCTTAGTGTTGTAATCATTAATGTTCTCTGTCATCCAAAAGCGTTCTGCACTAGATCACAGTGTGTGTGTGTGTGTGTGTGTGTGTGTGTGTGTGTGTGTGTGTGTGTGTGTGTCTTTACCACAGAAAGATTAGAAGTGTGTTATGGCAACATGCATGTTATATCTTTCACAAGAATATCAAGGGATGCATCGGTTCAACACCAATATCGGCCTAGTAGACAGACATCGGCCAATCGGCGAATTAAGTGGCATGATGTTGTCTGTTGTGTTGTATCAATTCAATGCTGACATCTCGGACACCAAACTACTGATTCAGAAAAGATGCATTTTATTGGGCAGAGGAAGTCACCTGTTGAACAAACTGATCTGTTTTCATGGTCAAATTTAGAAGAAAATGTCGGTATTGTGGGAGTCTTACACCTAAAGATGTCATGAAACAAAGACCGGTTTTAGAACCTTTAACCGGTGCGCCTCCAATGTTAATACTAAAAAGTCGGAAAATAGCTGTTGACAAGCCAAAACTTGGTTTCATCTGTGATGGATTCAAGTTGCCCTCTAAGGCCATATTCACACTTGACTTCTTTTTTCAAAGGCCTGTGACTTTTTTACATACAAGCCTATGGAAAATGGAAAAAGTATGACGCCTTTTTAAAAAGCGGACGCCTTTTTCAGATGAATTATTTCAACTTTTCAGAAAAGCGCTGGGTGTCGTCAAGCGCCTTTCTGACAGCTGACCAATCAGGACGAGTGGTAACCTACGTCCCTAGTTACCTGTGCCCAAAAACAGCAAACTTCCACCAGATATGTGTGCATTGCGTGTCCGCTCCGGTCTGTTACGGCTCCGTGCACCCTCATCCATCAACACCCACCGGCTGTGTTCTCAGTCCACAGCACGGAGAGCACAGCCGGACAGCTGGAGTATGAAGACAAAGCAATTTCTGCGGTAATTTAACAGATTCACTGGCGACAGCACGAGATAATACGACGTATGTGGTATAAAACTCAATAAAAACCTTATAAACACATAAACAAACACTCTAACGGTCGTTTTTCTGAACCGTCAAAATGGAGGGTGTTATTCTGAAAACAAACCGAATGTTTTAATGTTGTATCGGTGTCTGACTTCCCATCCCATTTGTTCTTTTCTGTGCTAAATTGATGTGTTGTGCTCCGGTGCAGTTGAACCGCAGACTAGATTCTGTTGTTAAGGTATACCCTTACACCCGCGCATAAGCGATCAAAAGGCGCTGAAAGCAGCGCTTTTTACTGAAAAAAGAAGTCAAGTGTGAACACGGCCTAAGGAGTCTTTGTCTTGCTTGAATGCATCCATTCATCCAAAATTCAATATTCAGCAAATTTGTTTCCATTTAACTCTCTTCCTTTTTCAGATAAACTTCTTCATTTTCATCCGGATTATCAAAATCCTCATGTCTAAACTCAGAGCTCATCAGATGAGATACACTGACTACAAGTTCAGGTGAGACTCTCCTTCTTGTTCTGTAAGGACAAATCATAAAATGAGGCCGCTTGCTGTGCAGGTAGTGCAGGAATGCGCTTAAAGAGCTTGATGGAGGATAACTCTTCCCTGTGTCCTTTTTCCTCCTCTGCTCCAGATTAGCAAAGTCCACTCTGACCCTCATCCCTCTGCTTGGGATTCATGCCATCCTCTTCACCTTCGTCATTGACGAGTCCGTCCCCAAAGGTTCCATGCTGCGGCTCATTCGTCTCTTCTGTGACCTGCTGTTCAACTCCTTCCAGGTCAGAGCTCATTTTAACTCACTCACTTATTCACACTGACAATGGTGCTCTCTCAAGGTTTTCTCTCTGTGTCTTGACCAAGGCAGACAATGTCTCAAATATTAAATTCCCAACATCTGAGGTATTGCAGAGCACTGAGCATTGCTTTAGGATGAGATTACTGACTTTGTGTTAGTGACCTCCATTGGATCCAGGACATGTATGGATTGGAGCTGGCTGGTGAAGCCGGGGAGTTGACAACATGCCCCTTCTGCTAACAAAAGCACAGATTTAACATACTGATAAAATGTCAAAGATTTCTCAGGTCAGTACAGTCCACAGCAGAACAGATTCTTGTATTATTTGAAGCAGACACTCGAGGTTATGTAAAGTCCAGTGACTCTCGTGTTAGTCTCTGTTATGTTTCCTCTCACCAATCCTCCTCTCCTCTACTAACAGAGCTGTCAATCATGTCATTACAACACTGACATACACCAGCGTGATATTAACTAACCACTAACCAAAAGAATCCGGGTTTGAGAAAAATGTATTGAACGTGCATTCATGGCGGCAGTAGCTCAGTCTGTAAGGACTTTAGTTGGGAACCAAAGGGTATCCGGTTCCTGGTGCGGGCCAATAGTATGACAGTTGGTCTGGTTGCTGGAGAGATGCCAGGTCACTTCCCGAGTAATGCCGGGGTTCCCTTGAGCAAGGCACTGAACCCACAACAGCTCTGGCATGCTACCTGTGTAGCAGTGTGTAACGTTAAAAAAAATGTACTTAAAAGTTTTCCCTATGTCCCATCTGTTAATATAGGGGAGGGAGGTTTTGTGGCCTCTACTGCAGCATTTAGGGGGGAGGATCTTCTTGCTTCACTTTGATGGTGCACGTTGTTCCATCCATCTCTGTATACAGTCTATGCTAATTATATACAAAACAGAACTGTTAGTAGCACTCGTAGTGGTCAGTTGTAGAAGCTTTAAATGTTTCCTACAAAGTATTGCCTGAATGGATTATTTCTCTGTGTGGATGAACTCTGTCACAAACATACGGATAGAGTGTGTCGGACCTTCACTTAAGTGTCCATTAACTGAGGGAAAAGAACAGCTTATGAGCTTTTTGCCTTGAAACCATGTAATTTATGGTCTTATTTACATGATTGTTGACATTTGACAGTCCATTTGTCAGTTTAAAACAAATGCACTCTTCCAAGCTCCTCCCCTCCCCTCCTGTCTCCACATTTTCCCCGCCCCTCCCATCCTGTTTCACTTGCAGGGACAGAGATAGCAGCAGACGCACGCTAATAAACATCTGAAAACAACATTCTGCAATCAATTTCAAGTTATGATATGCATGCAGAAGGGCGATTCAGTAATTATGTTTTTCTTTCTAGGCCATAGAATGTCTTGTTTCTTCGGTTTGGAAACGTCTGTTCATTTTCCTTCTGCCATACTCTGGCGATGAGACTCTATTTTTATTCCCCTAGATACAGCTCTCCTGAGTGTGTGGGGCCGTCATTTATTCCCTCACATTGTGGCAGGGATAACAGTTGGACAGGGATTGGTTCACTCAAAAATAAAACATGACTGAAACATGTTAGAGCCTCTGAATGAAATCAAATCCAGATGAAGAAAGCGCTCTCACGTCCATGTGAACACAAAGCCGAGAACAATAAATTCAGAAGGAGGTTGAATTAACTTTCTTTTGAGGAAGTCTTTACTCCACTTGGCCAATATATTTACACAGGGTATTTCTGATTATTTTTTTATTTACATTAAAAGGTACTGGGATTCCAATTGGGTGTTTTGCTTGGATATTTGTGTCAAACACTGTGCAACAAATTCAACAAACCAAGCTTATCATCGATGTGAACGTATCCTTGTGTTTCCTGTGTATTAATCTGTCAATGATCCTGAGTTTAGTTTTCAGTGTTTCCTGTTTTATTTTGTAGTTCTTGACCCTGTGTATCGTTTCTAGTCTTACTTCCTCCCTTTGCGTGTTTCCCTCCTTGTTTTGATTGCCTTCATCAGTTTCACCTGTGTCTTGTCTGTCCCGCCTGTGTTTGATGACCTTGTCAATTTAGTCACTGGGTTTCTTTCCTTCTGTGTCAGTGTGTCATAAGACTTTCCCTGTTGTTCCTGTGTTCAATGTAGGCCTGTCCCCAAAGGCTTGTATTAGTTAACAGTGGTCCAGAGTTAATTTATATTTAGTAAGTGCAAGTGTATGGCATTGCTGGAGGGAGTGGATTTCTGTTATAATAGAGCACTTCTCATGCTACAACAGAGATGGGGACTCGAGTTACACTTCAGTCGCACACAAATGTGAAAGACTTCAGACTTGAGGTTTTGGGACTTGTGCCCAATCCTTTTATGTTGTACATTTTGATTACAAGCTGAATGTCAATCCCTCCCATCATGCTTAACCTCCTTACCTGGAGGTGCTACAGATGGAATATAAGCTCAAAGTATATGTGATTTAGCCGGTCGCCGGCTGCGTCAATCCCTAAATGTTTTGAAGAATGATGATAATTAAAAGAGTATGAGCAACTTCCCCGCACTCCCTACTTCACAGATCTCTCCCTCTGTCTCGCTCAACCACTCAGTCAACCACTCGCTCAAACACACAGTCCGAAACAGTACCAGCCTCTATCACAAATGACTTGAACCACACATACTGCTTAGGGTTTTAAAAAAATGCTGATTGCCCCAACATTTATTTCTCAATTAAATGTGATCGATCGCTTCCTCACAATCCTAGGAACTAACTTCTCTAGATTCTATGGATTTTCATTTTCAGTCAGATTGATTGATTGTGAAAGATTGAGTGAATGATTTGTGATTTAAAACTTATTATCAGACAGTATATGATTTGGTTTCAAGCCATTTTGTTCAGAGGTTTCAATACTCCCCTTTTTGGATAATAATTGAGTGCTATGGC